TGTGGCGAAGCTAGCAGCAAGTTACGGTTAGGGCTGAGCTAGCTTCAACGGTAAATTCTCAAAATTTTCTATACTTTGTAGAAAGAAATTATAAGGGATCTTGGTACTAGGCCCAGGGCTATAGCCCTAGTTGCCCCAGGCTTGTCTCCGTCACTGAGCTAAATGTATAAATACAAATACATGAAGTCCTAGAGAAGGGGCAATCTAAATTATCATATTTGACAAGTAATTAATTAATTAAGAAAATATTCAAATCTTTTATTATCACTTGCAGTAGGAAAATATATTATATACTTGAGATTGTGCCAAAATCAAATTTGACATTTTTATAGAATCGTGGGAAAAGCTATGCTCTGAACCTTGTGGTACCTGTCCTTGGCCTTGTGGTTGACGTCTGTGTACACGATGGCTTGTCTGTTGTCAGGCAGGATGATTGCTGAGCCCGACCAGCAGCTGTACTTGTTGAACTTGGTGCTAGGCATTAGGGCATGTACAATGGAGGCAGCACCAAGGTGTTGCCCTAGTAGTATGGGTCCCAGCGTGGTCATCTTCCTCCTCCCAACCACACATCCAACGCCATCTCTCCTCTTCTTTTCTTCTCTCTCCTCTCTTTTTCTTCTCCGTCTCATGGAGCAGCGACTTCTTCTGCAGGCGAATCTGACACACTGCAAGGCTACTGCACTTGCTCCACGCTGGCATCCGAACCTAGTTGGCAGCGGGGCATCAGGTTTGAGGCATACCGTTGGCCATGCCCTTATAGTCGCCCCTAGCTCGACCTAGTTGATGATGTCACACAAGAAGGAGCCCCCCTGGTCACCACACGATTAAGCCGCAACTGGTCATGCGAGGGTTGTATAGATAGAAGACATGGTACTGGGGGCAGAGCTGTGTGTGGCGGGGGGAGGGGGGCGCCCCCATCTCAAGACAAATCACTAGGGAAAACATTTTGGGAGGACTTTAGTGGAAGAAAATATAGGAGCTCCTGTTCCATATCAATTAGGGAAACTCACTAACCCATCCTCCCCCCCCCCCTAAAGAAACGATAACGAGCCCATAATCACGAGACAAAGAAAGCCTAATACTACTTCCATCATAAATATATAAGTAAATATTCTAACTTTAGTTAAATATATAAGTCATATCTTAACTTTAGATGAATGTACACACAAACATTTGTTCAATATTATTCAAGCTAAATGTATATGCACAATTCACAAATACAAATAATATCTGACAATAATTAATTAATAAGAAAATGATTCAGATTTTTTTATTATCACTTATGCTAGAGAGAACATATATATACTTATACTTGAGACCGTGCCAAAATAAAAATTGGCATTTTTTAATAAAAGCTTGTGAAAAGCGATGTTGTGAACCTCGTGGTAACCGTCCTTGGCCTTGCGGTTAACGTTAGTGTACATTATGGTTGGCATACCGTTGGGCAGGATGGTCGCTGAGCTCGACCAACAACCGTATTTGTCGGATTTGGTGCCGGCCTTCTCTAGCTCGACCCAGTTGATGAGGTTCTACAAGACGGAGTGCCCCCACACGATTAAGCCGCGTCAGGGTTGTATTGATAGAAAATATGATGCCGGGGTAGAGCTG